TATGTAGCTTTGCTTTGCCTAGTTGAGTGTGTTAATGAAGGTTAACAAAGATTGTAGTTAATAGGACATTTGAGGAGTGTTGTGTTTGGGTGAGGGGAAGCTAAGATACTTTGTTTTAATTTGATGCAGAAACTTACTGTGTTATTTATAACTGGACAAAAATAGTACTGCAAAACTCGTTTTTCTAGTTTAGTCTTTAAATACCATTATAAAACTAAATTTTGTCTTACTACTGACTGGTTTGTAATTACTGAAAAATATGTGAGATCTAGTAAATCCTCCCCACTGAGAAAAAGTGGGCCATATCTACATTTTTTGTGTGTGTGATGGAGTTGGAGTGGGAGTGCTTGGAGGGAAAGGATAAGAGTTTGCACTTTGGCTAACTGGAGAACAGATGTGGCTTCTAGTGAGAGCTAAAGCTTGGGGTTTTTGCAGCTTTCTATGCATTGCATTCCATGCTTGTGGGAGTTTTGTCTCATCCTTTTAAAAAACCAGACATCCAGCTGCTCTAAGGGGATGATGCTTGTCTGTAGCTATGACTAGAAGAGGCCACAAAAATATTTATGCTAAAACTAGATGGGAATTTTTTTTTGCTTTTGAAGTTGAATGTGTCATGACAAAGAATTCTGTTACAGTTGTCTCTTTGTAGTATCCTAATCCAAATGGGAGCAGTGGTGAGAATAGATTTGTTTCTCTCTATATTTAATTGGACAACAAATGTATGCGATTTTGTTTTGATTACGGAGTTGGTCAAGATAACCTCCAGAGGTTTGTCCCAACTGAATTTGTTCTACAGATCTATTTTTGAGTGGTTAATGAAGTGTTAAATGAACCAGAAATAATACTCTGAGTATTAACTGCTGGGTTTTTTTTTTGCTCTTGCAGCACTGGTATAGTATTAACTTTAACAAAATCCAAACAAACAGACCCACGCAATCAATCAAACAAAAAATCTAGCACAAAACCAAGCCCAGCTAGGAGGTAGAGGGAATGAAACTGATTTAGAAAAGAAAAAGAGGCATTTTTATAAGTCCTGTACGTTAACTTGTAGTCATGTGGAAATGCAGCAGACTGAGTACAGTTTATGTAATTCTGGATCTGACTTCTCAGTCTAAACGATACTTAATGTTTTTGCAGCATGTATGTTGTTTTATAAGGCATGTATCTACACTTGATTTCTAGAAAAGTATTTTTCTAGTTAATTCTGGGCACAGATTTTGTGCAAGGCAGTCTAAGATGCCTGTGTATTTCAAAGAAATGTGAGGGACAGTAGACATCATCAGTTGTTCTCTATTTCCAGTGTTCTTAAAGCCAGCAAAGCCGGGGATAAAAGCACTTGGTCAATTGTGTCTGCTAAGTAACCTCCCTGGAAATGGTTGTAGTCTATCTTTGGAAAACTGTGCTCACATACCCAAGCTCCAGAAATGGAAAACTAAATTCTAAGAGGCCAGCTTACCTTTGTCAAGTTGAACAGGAAAAATGATGGAGCACTGGTGAAGCTCTTGCTTGTGGCAGTAGAAGTGGCTACTTCAGTCGAGTTTAAGAGCAAACAGTTGGGACAAACGTACAACTTTAGGTTCAGCGATCTCTGGTTTCATACCCTGTTGCTTTTCATCAGTAGAGGGTTAGATAAATCCCAAAGAGACTGGGGTTTGTTGTTTGGGGTTTCTGTCTATTCGTCAACATGTTTGCTTTCATTTACTTACCTTCAAGGGTTTTGATGCAGAAAAACCTTGGCAGTTTTGCCTACACCTTCTGATTAAAGAAACATTTGCAAATGTAGCTTTCGAGGGTTGTGAACCACAAAGCATATTTGTTGAGCACAGGAGACTTATTGAACTGACTTACATGTCAGAAAGCTTATCTGTCATTAAGAGTTCACTGCTTTTCTTTTTTTCATGCTTCTTAGTCTTTTGCCAATACTTAATCTAGCAGTTAATGGTGATGAATGACTCTTGCCCAATATGTTCCAAGACATATTCTGATTCCTGATTTTTAACTCTTGTTGTTAAATTGGGTCCTGTTCCTTTCAAAAACATGAGTTTTCTGCTGAAATTACATTTGTTGTCTTGGAAAAGTGTCCCCATCTGTCAGCTCTTTAGCAGTGGGTCCTTGCAGAAGACACCAAATCTTTAAATATAAAATTACTTCTTGTTGCAACCTCAGTCCTTCTCTTAGCAATCAGCAGTCAACAAAGAAAGAAATTTTTGAACATCCTCAAAATGCAAGAAACTTTGAACAATGCTGAAAGGAAAATGTTCAAGATTCAGCATTTCATCTGAGACTGATCAGCCATAAGTAAAAATATATGCATGTTCTGTGATCTGAATCTAATAGAACAAAATTTCCAGTACCTTGGGACTTTGACATCTGACTTGCTGGAAAAGTGAGGAGTTTGATCTCTGCAAAGACGTTGGCAAACTAAATATGGAGTGCTTGAAAATACAAGTACAAAAGAGGGAGAATGAGCAGAGGGGTAAAGGCTTGTTTACCAGGCAAGCAGAGTGGAGAGGAATTGTTTCTTTCTCAAACTACTCAGTTTCAGTTCTGACAAAACTCAATAAATATGCTTCTGTGACAAGGAATATTATGATCCAGCTTCGGTGCTTGTGCCATTAAGATACTTTTCATTAAATCTGGAAAACACTTAACTTGGCTCTTAACTACAGGCACAGTTTGAAAGATGGAAGTTAATAGTGCTAACATAAGAAGTTTCTAGATAGAGCTAACTTCCTCTGGGAAAAGGGAAGTCAAAACTACCATTCCAAATACTCCAAAATATGCCTGTGGTGTCAGTAAACTGCTTAGAGTCTAAAACATACCACTTAGTATTCTTTTTTTTTTTTTTTTTTTTTTAATTCCCAGCTCTTTAGAGAATAATCAGGAAATTCTGTGACTAATAATAAAAGTGGAAGTGATACTAATAGCACTGAAAATTGCTCTTCTGCTTTTGTGGATGTTGAACAACCAGTTCCACTTACCAGTTTATCAAGGCAGTCTCTACTGGTGGGAGGGAAGTGATAAATATATTGCGTTTTATCTTCTTGCAGTTTCACGCTGTTACCTCTGAAATCTTCAATTTTAAGGTGTTAAGTACAGTAAAAGAGCACTTGTCCTAAGAAGTCCTCTGGTGTGTAAGAGCTAATTTTTAAGCAACAACCAGACATCTGGAATAGTCTTGATTGTGGTGTATAATTGAGGATATGCCTGTGACTTCCACTAGAAAGTCTAGAAAGTTTTTTACAAAGTTTAATTTGTGTTAAATTGCATTTGTATTTTAGTGTAAAATGGCAATATATGAAATTGTAATGCTGTTATTGGAGAGGATAAACATATACAGTTACATGAAGTTTTGGATAAGAGATTGCTAGTTAAAAGAAAAGGCTTAAATTGATTTTAACATTTTATTTGAGAAGGTGGAGATTAACTCTTTTGCTTATGTTCAACTAAGGTTGAACATCTAAAATTCTAATAACTTGCCTTCCTCTTCAACTTGCCCTGAAATGGAGGATAAAGCACTGAAGTTGTTATCACTGCTCAGCAGAACTGCCTTGATCTCAGATAGCTCCAGCTTGGAATGTTTTTTCAGTTCAGGAGAGATGGCAAAAACTACCACCAAGAGATAAAGATGAAAACAGAAGCCAACGGGCAATAAAACGGCAGAGTTTACACATAAAGAAAAGGATAGCAAAACCTATTCCTGACTATGGTAACTTCTTAAATATGTTGTCGAAGTGCTTTGTAATCCAGCTCTTCAAGTCTTCTTTCATCACCTCTTTTCCAGGCTTTTCATTGTACATCAGCAGATAGCACAGTATCACAAACAGCTTCAGGGAGATATGAGAAGTGTAACCATGATTATAGATTGCAGTCTCTTGTTGTTCTGGTATATGAGCAGGTTATTTATTTAAACAACAGAAAAGATGCTTTGCAAGATAGATACGCTTCCCTAATTGGTGTTCTTTTAATGGGTGGAAATGAAATCCAAAACACTTGAGCTTTTGTGGTGTAATGTTCTGTTCCGCCGTTAAACTTCACCAGGCTGGAAACTGGTTTCAGTCTTTTGGAACATACACACCTACAAAAACATTAATGAAATGTTTCCAAAGAACCATCCATGCATTTAAAAAATATTTCCTTGTTTGTGCAAATGTGTAAAATTCTCTCAATAGTGGTGACTGATTACTACCAGTACCTTTTTGGCCTTTTTTAAAAATAAAGGCCTTTCAATTTAATCTGTCCTTCTTACAGAGCTCTGATTGTAGTAGTAAGTTGCATGTGCCGTAGTCTCAAACCATTTAATCTGGATATGAAAGTGATTTTCTAAACTGGGAAGCTGGGAAATCCTTAAACTACTGCAGAGATGTGACTGATAGTCACTGCTTAAATAACTATGAGCTTATGTCACATCTTTGGGAAGTTCATGTTCACTACAAACATTATCTGTTTTGACAAAGACTTGCCATTTCTTTCTGATGCACCAACCACAAATTGCTGGTATGCTGACCTTGTTAGAGAAACATTTTGGGTTACAGCTTGAAGCAGAGGAGAAAAGGGATGCACAGCACACAGCTTCGTGTCTCAGTAACCGCACGCTTTACTGTGCTGGTGTTGCACAACATGGTTTGCAAAGCAGATGCTGTAAGGAAAGGGGTAATAACATTTGCAGCATCTGCCTTAAACACTTGCTCAGTGGTGAAACTTGTTGCAGAGAACCAGAGCTGCCTCTGCATGAGCCACAAGAATGAGCAATTTCAGTTCTAACCAAAGGTGATGCTTTTCACAGCAGTGCCCCATTGTGGTGTGTTCTAGAGCAAGTGTGTAACTGCACAAGCCAAGCAGTGGGGTCACAAAGAGGACACTTGACTTTAGGGGATGTGTGCCTTGTATGACATGAAGAGCAGACCCTTAATGACCACCAAAGTAAGACCTGAGCATGTACAATTGAGACCACACCCACTCTCGCCTCTCATGCTAATGAAGAACCAAAAACCACTCCCACTCTGCCTCATGCTAATGAGGAACCAGAAAACCATGCCTACTCTTGCCTCTCATGCTAATGAGGAACCAAAAACCACTCAAGCTTCTTATGCTGACTGGAAGTGAACCAGGTGGGATTCTACCACCACTGTGAAGAAGCCCTGGGCATTGGAGGACCAACAGGACAGCACAGGATCCATGGTGGTGACTCTCCTGCTTGCATTCTCTCTCTCTCTCTCTCTCCTCTTTCCCTTATACACTTAATGTGGCAGAATATTGTTGAACAGGCATTTGGTCTCATTTGTAGCCTAATTTGTGTAGGGAACTTTAACATCAAATCATAACAGATGCTTCTAACAGTCATGTACAGGAATGATAAACATTTGATTAAGGACGCTGAGGAACCGTGTCCCAGTTTACCAGAGCTGGTTTTGTGCTTCAGGCTGGAGCATGCAGGGCCTACTGACACACACAATCAGTGAATCATGTTTGTTTGCACCTGTTGAACACAAATGCAAATGTACTGATGTCTTGAGCATCATGATTATAGTATCCGACCTGTAAATGCTGAGAAAAACGGCTACAACAAGAATAAATGCTCCTTGAGGTTTCAGAGAAACTTTGTTTTCTTTGTAACTTCCATGAAGCAGTCAGATAAGTTTACAAATTGGGAATTTAGTCCTGCAGTGTTGTTTCACATAGAAGACCCAGTTTTCCTATGTGCTTAGGTGCAATACACCTATGTGATCTGTGACCTTTAGGGAGATGAAGCCTGATGAGAACAATTAGAGGTGCCAATTTCTTTGCAGATGAATATTATCCCCACTTGGTGTGGGGAGTAGGCAGGACAGTTTTGATCTGTTGAAAATATTTTATGGAAAACTGTTGCTGTTTACCTCTCAGCAGGGTTATCATCTACTGCTAAATAAATATTTAGTTAATCACCATTGACTGTATCACAAACAAGTGATAGGGAGTAGGACTTCATTTCAGACTAATCCTTGAAAAGCTGTGGTATTTTCCTGTTGTGATTGTAGCTCGTGTGGAAGTAGACAGCAGCTTCCACAGGGCAGAGTTTGCACGGAACCGAATTTGTTTGCTGCTGTCTTATTCCATGTGTCTTTGTAGAGGATAACCTGATAAGAACTCTGTGAGTTTCAGGTCTTTATGGGACAAGTGTATTTAGCTGAAGAATTGAATTTTTTCATTACAGTGGCTGTGCCTTTGTGTTAACTCTGCTGCAAACTTCCTTCGCTCGACAAATGGTTTTGAAAAGGGAGCTAAGGAGTAGCTCAGTGGAGAAAGCATTGTTTTAGTTTTTCAGTTGAGAAGTTCAAACAAAGAGAAAAATAAAACAACCTACTTCCATGGCTTTTGCTGAAGCATGTGGTTCCTTACAAATACTCTAACAAAAACAAAGTTGCATGCTAACCTCTCTTTGCCAGTAAATAAAAGATAATGATTTCTGCTAACTGAATTCAGTAAGTCCATGCAGACTAAACCCATGCTCCTGTTAAGTACTATTTGGCTACAGAAGTCTGTGAAGATAGCATAAATGGAAAGCTAATTTATATTTGGATTAAAGAACTGAACCTGCTGTTTCCAATTCACTGTTCGCTATTAAAAGTCTGTGAAGATGCAAGAATGGTGCAATCCACTGCCACTCCAAAAGCTTTTTCTGGTTTTACACCAGAATTGGTTACTTTCAGGGTCTGGAGTAACTTAGTACAGCAGAAACACTTTATCTCAATTTACAGTTTCTGCCAGAGTGCATCCTAAGAAATGTTATGTGGGAAGTAAACAAGATACTGTCAGTCTGAGTCTGATGTCTTTTTCAGCTGCTTCTTAGTAAAGAAAGGACTCATAGGGTGACTATTCTGTGTAAAGGTGAATGTAAATTAATAATTGAGCCCTCTTGACACAGTTGCTTGTGTTAGAGAGGCAAATGTAGCTGTGTGAGGTTTGCAGTACCTCCGGAGTTTTATTGCAGTTCTTTCCCTGCCTTTCTGGGTAGGGACAGTTGGGAGAGGAAATCTTTCCTTTTCCTCAGTGCAACTGGAGCTTCATTGTGCTGCAGCAACTTTTAAAAGCCAAGGTGACAAATCTGGGGAGATCAGCACTGGGAAATGCCCTGGATCTGAGTTACAGGTCTGCTACCCAGCTGCTTATGTTGGGTGGGGATTCAGACTGGGCTGGAGCGCAGAACACCTGGATTAACTCTGCTCTGGTTCCTTGTCTGTATGCCAGCACTTCCTGTTTTTAAAGATCCTGTTTACTGTCTGCATTCCAAATATCCCAGGAAAGTGGGAGGATGGGAAGAAACATGGAAAGAAAAGTAAACAGCATTATTTAAGGTGGAATTTTCTATTTTTTTTTTTTAGTTATATAACCAGCATTTGTTACTTTTCAAACCTGATCTCATTAGTTAAAGTCTAGAGTAAACTTTTGTTTACATCATCTGGCACTAATTTCCAAAAGCAGAACTGCATGTGAAAGCTGACATTGAAACCACTAATATTTGCAGCAAAGAGAAGAGTAAGGTTTTGTGGTGTGCTTTGGCTTCATGTTCTTCTTGATGTTCACATGAAACAATGTCAGCCATCTGAAATGTACAATTAAACAAAACATGTAATCAGGGGAAAACCTTATTTCTATAGGTACAAAATGGCATGTTGATCTGATTTTATTGCCAAACTTTAAAGCTTTTGATTTAAACAGCTTGAAAGAATTTGGGTGCTGCTCACTGACCTTCAGAGCTCACAGCCTACCGTGGAAGAGCAGCACAGAGGTGGAAAGGTAATTCTCATCCTGCTACACAGCAAGCCAAGTTAATTGCTGAAATAATGAGTAAGCAGATATGTGAAGTGTAAAGAGATGATATGTTGCTTTTCTAATTCTTTGTTGTGCTTTATGACTGTTAGTCCTCTATAAATGATAAAATCCTGTCCTTTGAGGTGGAGCTAGAGGTGGAATTACTGAATGATTTTGGACTGAAAAGGAAAATTTAATTCCAGGCTTTTTCTTTGTTTAACAAAGAGAAAAAATTCTGCCTTTAGCTGGAAGAAAATGTTCTAGGACAGATATTCTGTCTTTGGTATGTCATGGGATCCCTAGGGAGAAGGCACTAGTGGGAGTTCTGGAGGTCACCAGCAACTTGAAAATGCTTCTTTCTCGTGATCCTGTTTTCATGGCTCCCAGACAGTGAGGGAAGCTATAAACACTGTGCCTGCATGGATGGGGGAGGGCAAGCAAGGGGATTTCAGAATAAAAATTCACAAAGGTCTTTTGGTTCACTTGGAGAGGAAAAAAATACTCCAGCAATAGTAAATCTTTTTAAACTGATCATCTTGGATTTGTTTCAGCTGTTTGATCCTGCAGCAACATAACACGCATAGTTCCTCTTGGGAAATACTTTCTAGTGAGTTCATCTTTTTTCAGGATGACCTCACCATTAATTTTAGTCATAGTACCTGAAAGTCACTAGGAGAGTATTGTATTCTGGGAAAAAAAATCTGGATGTGTCATAACTTTAAAGAGAACAACTCTGAAACATAGCTACCCCATAGTCTCATATCTAACTGAAGTGAAACTGCTTTTCAGTAGTTTCTAGTGAGGTTTTTGCATTCACAGGAAAGAACAATCTTCTTTTTAAGCAGTACTATTATGCTACAGATGTTGCCAATAATTTTAAAGGGCTTTAGCTCTGTCTAGAATAAGGCAAATGTACTCAGCACTGTTTTTGAAGGGTGGAAGAAATGGGTAACTACAAATAGAATCAGTAGTGTTTGTAAATAGTTGCCTGTTTCTGAAGGAAACTAAATGCTGTGATGTTTTTGATGGTGTTAGATCCTCCTGTTTGCTTCCCTTGGGCTGCTGTTTGTCATCAGATAAGGAGTTCCGGGTATCTGCACGTTTTCTGTGAAATAAGGACGAAAGCAATACGTATGAAATAAGACACGCCTGCAATGCAACAGTCTGCTGTTTTCTATTCTGAACGAGGCAATATTTTTACTAGTTACATCTGTGTTTAATAATGTTTTCATGGAGGACAGTTTCAGACATCTTTGTACTAGTCTTCCTGGATTCTGGAAGAATGCCAGCTTGACAAACAGGAAGAACAAAAGGACAGTACTGAAAATACGTAGTCTGGGGCAGTCTTACTGTCACCACACAGCAGGTTTGGACAGCAGCAAAATTAGACAGACAGCTCTGCCCAGTTCTCTTCATGTTTTAGAGTGCCTGATCTGTCTGATGGTGAGAATAAAACATTTTGGCATTTAGAGAGGTTCAAATGCCCCTTGCATTCTGAAAAGTGTTGTTCCTGTTCCAGGAACTCTTCTATTTGCACAAACTCAGAGCTTCTGTTTTGGGGATTCCACAGTACTTCATAAAAGTATTTTTAAATTAAATTAAAAGAATTTGGGGTCATACCTGTAACTGATACTTCCGTCAGTGTGATAGAGAATCAGGAAAATCATTTAGCCTACACATGAGTGCACAGTAAATCAGAATCATAAATTGTTGGATTGTTAAATGAATAGAAGGCAATGCTAGGAGTCTAAAGGAAACTTCTATCTGGAAAAGAAATCAAATCCAGACACAAATCTTAATGAGCAGCTCTCTGATACCAAAAATGCCACAAAATATTATAAAACATTGCTACATCCTGTCTGTAAAAACAGTGTAATGGGATTTGTCTTGTGACTGGAAAAACTAATGGACTTCAATTAAATTGTAGCAGTTTGCTGAATGACTCATTCAATTTCAAACGTGGGCTGATAAAATTGTATTGAGTGTTTAGTCTGTCCTTTTGAATGAGTTTTGAAACACTGGCTGATGTACAGCAGTGCAGATTATTCAGTGCTCAGTCACTGGGATGTGTGTACCACTTTGCATAAGCATCCCATACTTTATACTTCAGTACAATATTACAGCACTTCTTGCTTCCTTGTATGCTTACTACATTTCTTGCTAGTTGGTAATTTAAAGAGGGAAGAACTTGCAGAGCCTCAAGAATAACTGTAGGTGCTTGTGCTGGTGACAGGCTTAACTATGTCTGCTAAAGTGAACAATAATATCTTTTTCTCCTACATTGCCCCCCTGACATGCAGAGTGTCTTCATCTGTGAGGCAATAAAACTGTCATAGTTTACCAAAACCAAATTTTCTAAGCTTATTCTTAATAAGGAACTATACCATCTACATCAGATGATAGCTAATTTCTATCCTATAAGAAAATAGTTATATAAATTAGCATTCATATGCTAATTGTGTCTGGAAGTAAGTAGGAATCTGTATTATGGCAGGTATGTTTATCTTCTGGATGTCTTCCCTCATGTTTATTCTTTTTGAATGGAATCTCAAACCTAGAGATTGTTTTGCACTAGTCCAGATGTCCCTAAGCTTTTGGCAGGGGAAAAATGTTTATGGTGCTTTAGGAAGGTCAGAGATTGCAGGTGTGATGAAGTTTTCATTTGAAGTGTTTGCATGTCCCCTTAGTTTGGTTTAAATAACATGTCTCTAGAATTCCCTTAAAATTACAGTCCTTTTACTGTCGAAGAACATAATTGATTCTATTTATTCCAGGCAGCCTTCCAGATTTGAAAGTGTACACAGAAACACAAGCTGCCAGCTATACTTCAGAAATGTTTCTGTTTACATTCTTGCTTTCCAAATCCAAACCCTGGAGGCGTGCTTACATGTGCAAGTGAAATGAATGTGCACACAGAGTGACTGCATGCACTGTTCAGCACATGCCTGTATCCCAGCTTGAAACAAAAGCTGCTGTCTTGCTGCAGTTACTCTAAAAATTGTAGATTTTGGGATGTCACATTTGGACCATTTGCAAGTTTTTAAAGAAAAGGTATTGAGTTGCCAGTTAAGGTTTGAACTCTTTAAGGAAGCCAAGGCTGATGTTTATTTTGAAGAGATGCTTGGCTAAAAGGATTTACATTTTTGATGTATGTGTGTCCCCTACTCCTGCCTCTGTTTCTTTGTTGCTGGTAGGGAGGGAGAAAAACTTGCAGTGGAATTAGGCACCATCTTTGCAGCTGCTCTTACCCAGCACTGCTGCAGTCAGGCAGCCCCAGTGCAGACCTGCATTAGGCTGACTCCATGGGGATCTCAGGAAAGAGCTAAAGCAACAGAAGGCAGCACAAGATAGGGAAACTGAGTTGTTCTCTGCCTGTTCCATCCGTCTGACCTGTAACCAGTTGGCTCAGGGAGCCCCAGTGCCAGCAGGGTGAGGAGTGAGAGCACATGCCTTGGGCAGGGTGAAAATGGGCTCTCATGATTCAGAAGAGCCTCAGCAGGATGGTGGAACTGAAATTAAAAGGCTGCTGGTATAAACTCAGTCTGTGTTGTGAATATTTAATTTGGTTGCCGTCCATCTGTACAATCATTGTGCGTGTGTGGACGGGAAAGCTCATATGACTGCATATTCTTGTTTGTTTGGGGGCTTTGTGCTGGTGTGTGCCATAACAGTGAAGTTCTTCTGCCTGTGTTTGCAGTTAAGAAATGTAAATAGGCATGTGATTCAGTGATATGGAGAGGGAACCTCTTTGCCTGATCAAAAAGATCATTTAACTTGTGTATTTAGTTTTATCTGAGCTGAGGATAGTTATCAGTGGTTTGGAACCCTCCAAGTTACTCTGAATGGTGTTATTTGCGTTCACTGGTAATGTTTTGTAATTGGTAAGCTTCCCAAGCTTGTCTCTGTAAATACACTCTGTGTGCTGAGAGCTTTCCATTTCAGCATCCGCTCACTAAGGCTATTACAATGATGAGGGAAATAAAACGGCTTCTTTAAGAGCTTTCTTAAAAAGAAGTCAGTTGCAAAGTGTTTCTAAATATGCATGAGGTGGTAGTGGAAAAGCATTTTTCTAAATCTGCAGTGGCACTTCAATACTTTCGTGGATATTTTTAAAAGCCCAAATTACAACTACAAAGGAGGGATTAAAAAAGACAACCCTATTTCTGCTCAGAGTTGCTTAGGAAGCAGTGGATTTGGGAAAACATCATTTTCATTCTAACATTTCTTTGTAAGGACTGAAGTGTGGCAAGAGCAGGTACTGGATGTACTTGGAAGAAAACTTTTTAGAAAAGAAATGCTAATGCAGCAGGGAGGATCACTTTTTTTTTTTTTACTTATATATAAAATGTTATTTATTAATTTTATATGTACATAATTAATACATACAGAAATATATTTTTATATAAATGCATATTTTTAAAATTTGCTGAGCAAAGGGCAAGCATTGCAAACATTGTTTTTCCACAGTGAGAACTTTCAGGAAGTTGATCCAACAGAAGAAGTAATGGCTACAAACTGAAAGAGGGTAAATTTAGGCTACGTAGATGTTAGGAAGAAATTCTTAACTGTGAGGAAGTTGAGATTCTGGCACAGACTGCCCAGAGAAGCTGTGGCTGCCCAATCCCTGAAGTGTCCAAGGCCAGGTTGGACAGGGCTTGGAGCACCCTGGGATGGTGGAAAGTGTCCCTGCTCATGGCAGGGGAGTTGGAATGAGATGGTCTTTAGGGTCCCTTCCAACCCTTAACATTCTATGATTCGGTGATGGATCTCTCCAAAGCGAAGAGCAATGAATGCACAGATAAGCAACTTTGTTTCATTACTGAAAAATCCAGGATGAGTACAGAAGACCAAATATTTTGTAACATGAAGTGTTCTTCAGTCTTGTCACAGGATGCCAACAGTTTGTTTGTGAAAACATTCTGAAGGAACTGGATTTCTTTTGCAAATACACAAATATTGCCTTTGGTTAAGGAAATTAAAAATAGGTAGGGATTAGGAATGTTTATTGGTGAAGTATCACTGTGTGCCTTCTGGGTAGTTCTGCTCTCTTTTTGGCATCTCCCCCCACCCACTAGGCTATAAAACATCTCTGCTCTGTCCAGATTCTGGTTTTCTCATACTCTGTCCCATTCTCATTTTTTCTCTTTTTCATACTCATTTCCTCTGCTCTAAGATGGCCTGAGCAGCACAGATAGAGGGTCACATGTGTTCCCCTGCTTTCCTTTGGCTTGGCAGGGGCATTCATGCAGCTGCCAAAGGGAACTGGAACGGGGCATTGGCGCTAAATTAAACAAGCTCAACTACAAAGTGTTAGTGGCGCTCAATTCTTCTGTCTCATTCATGGAGAAAAGGGTTTGTTGGTGGTGTAAGTAGCTTATACTGATCTGACACAGCTATGGCCAAGTCTTGTGTGTACATGGATTCTTAAAATCAAGTTTAGAGCTTTTTGTAAATATTTATAACTATTATGTCCATGTTGTTTGAATACTTTAGAGGTTTGAGATGAGAAAAAAAAACATTTTTAAATGTGGAAGCATTGGTTTAAACTTAAAAGAGCTGATGGTTTGTATCATCCAAATTATAATACAGGCTTCACTTTCCAAATTAAAACTGTGGAGAACTTGGCTTGAGATTTGGTTAAAAATTTCTAAAATAATTTGAGTTCTAAATATTTTCATCCCCCTGCTATTGAAGTGTTCTGTTAATGAATTAAAAGTTCAGATTAAAAAATATCCTCTATTCTTAAGACTATATGTATATTGGTATTTTTCCAAACTAGTGTGATTCTATTAACTGCTTTGTTTGAGTAGGTGCTTAGATTCAAATGCAAGTTCTTTGGCTTAGTTTTATCAAGTCTTTTTTATGAATGTAAAATACAGCCCTGACTATTCATCTACAATTATAAGCAGCGTTTGAACCGTTTTATCTGAATTTCTTGGTGATATTTGTATTTTAACTTTTGACATTTAAATTTCTGATTTTCTCTCAGGTTTCCACGTACAAATCACTGCTCGAAAAGCTTGAAGTACAAAGTTATCCCAAGACTTAAAAATGCCTCCGCGGCCGTCATCTGGTGAACTATGGGGCATCCACTTGATGCCCCCCAGGATCCTTGTGGAGTGTCTCCTCCCAAATGGAATGATAGTGACTCTAGAATGCCTCCGTGAGGCCACCTTACTGACTATTAAACATGAACTCTTTAAAGAAGCAAGGAAGTACCCTCTCTATCAGCTCCTTCAAGATGAGTCTTCTTACATTTTTGTAAGTGTTACACAAGAAGCAGAGAGAGAGGAGTTTTTTGATGAAACACGGAGACTTTGTGACCTGCGACTGTTTCAGCCTTTCCTGAAAGTTATTGAACCAGTAGGTAACAGAGAAGAAAAGATTCTTAATAGAGAAATAGGTGAGATTATCTTTTTTTTTAAATATAATCTGTTTAGCTGATTATCCTCTTCAAAATATAAAGAATTTGAAGGGCTCATGTTTGTCACCTGTATCCATCATGTTTCATAAGTGCCAGTGGTTGCATCAAATGTCCAAAGATGCAGATCATAGTAAAACCAATATTTATAATCAATGAGTTAAACTTCTTGTTTTCTGATCTGTCTTGTTCACCTTGTCTTTGTAAAATGTATTTGTAGTTGCTTGTGGGTTAGAGGATATCTTTTTGCTTATCATTTTACTAGCAGGATTTCATATTATTAGAGAGCAACACCTGTCATATTGTTTAGGAAGTCAGTTACAATTTATTTTGAAGTTTACAGAATTTTCAATTCTAGATTTAACTAAAAATCTTAAACCACATTTGTGGACACAGATTTTAATACTGCTCTAGCTTGCTTAGAAAGTCAAATTTCAGAAATGAGGTTTTTTCACCTTTCATCTTCTCCCTTCTGACAAAAGAGCATAGGGAAAAAACACCAGAGGTTGGAGATGTGAAGGCGAGACAAATGTGATGTTTTGAATCATCTCTGGAGTAGCTTATGATTTTCCATGATCCACTGAGGAAGCACAGGGAATCTGACGTTTGTTCCAACATCTTGGTTAAGTATTGAATTGAGGCAGTACAAACATACCCACTGCTGTTTCATTGCTAACAAATGTGTACTGCAGTGGCAGAGACTTGTCAACTGGAAATACTTGCTCTGAGGTACTGCTAATTGTTAAATGATTTAATAGTGACGAACACATAATAAGTAAATTAATTCTGTTTTGTAAAGCTCAACATGTTCAGGACTTGGGGAGAACAGCGGATAGGTAACCATGCAACACGACAATTGAAAGTTTCCATTTGAACACTCATGCATAAATGATGATTTATCGAAGTAATCTCATTAAAGTAAATGGAAGTGCATCTGAGATTGAGGACCTGAACGAAATGCACTGTTGCTATATGAATCTGTGTCAAAGAGCTTAAGTTCTCTGTCTCTTGGAGTGCTCATTGCAGTTCTTAGATAATGTAGGTCATTAAAAAAAAATTAATAGCTGTCATTCAGTTGTAAGCAAGGTTTATTATGGTCCTAATAGCTACTAATAATCCTGGGTTTGAGAAAAAAAACAGATTTCACAGGTCCTCTGGTTCCCTTAGGAAACTCTGTGCTGACTTGAAAGGAAGTTGAGTCTTGGTCCTTTTCCTCCAGAAGGAGTGTTGGCTGTGAGAGCAATGATTTAAGGCTTCCATGATCTTCAGGGAATGTACACCTGTTTTCTAACCTTTTCTGTGTCTGCTGAGTGCACTTAACTTTAGAACTGTGTAGTTGAATGATATAAAACAATTACATATGCATGCAGAAGCTGGAACTTATTTTAGGCTGTGTTTTGCTTTAAGTTGGCTTTTTTTTTTTTTTTTTTTTTTTTTTTTTGTGACTGATTGAAGGAATTTTTAGCTCTACTTGTCAGTTACAATTATATCCTCATGCTGCTCCAATGCTGTAGGTTTTGCTATTGGCATGCCTGTCTGTGAGTTTGACATGGTCAAGGATCCAGAAGTACAAGACTTCAGAAGAAACATTCTTAATGTCTGTAAAGAAGCCGTGGATCTGCGAGATGCCAATGCCCCACACAGCAGAGCACTGTATGTCTATCCTCCAAATGTAGAGTCCTCAGCTGAACTCCCCAAACACATATACAACAAACTAGATAAAGGTAAGGGCAATATTTACAGCAGAAACAGAATATATTTTCAGTGTTTGAAGTCAAAGAGTACAGCTGTTGACTTAGGCAGATCATGTTTTATGTGCTGTATTTAGTACACTCCAGCAATATTCTCCAAGTTATTCAGAATATTTTTTTTGATGGACTCTACATTCAAAAGGATATTTAAAATTGTGCTATTCTAACTGAATCTTGAAATATAACTCAGTAAATAGAGGTAACTTTTTTAGTGGGTGGGAACAGTTTGTTGGCTGTTTTGTGTGGCATTCAGATAACTGAAATTAAATGATGCTGAATCACTGACTTACTTTGCAGGCCTCAAATATGAAAGAGTTACTGCTGTTTTCTTAAAGTCCAAATAGTCGTTAGTATTCAGTTAATAAAAATATTCTTAACCTCAGAGCTAAAATTTTTAATTTCCACTAGAGTCAAAAATAAACTTAATGCATCTAGTTCCTTGCAGGAATTATAAACCCTCTCTCAGTCTGGGCAATGATCTTGTTTACATCTTCTTTTAGTACTAAAAGCAAATCTCTGTGTTGGGGAGGTTGTGGGAGTTGTTTGGTTTGGGGGTTATTTTGGGCTTGTGCTTTTTGTTTGGAAACAGCATTGAAAATGATAGGCCTGACATTATTTTACATTTATTCCAGGGCAAATTATAGTGGTGATTTGGGTAATAGTCTCACCAAACAATGATAAGCAGAAATACACCCTAAAAATCAATCATGACTGTGTGCCTGAGCAAGTTATTGCTGAAGCAATTAGAAAGAAAACGCGAAGTATGTTGCTGTCATCTGAACAACTGAAACTTTGTGTCTTGGAGTACCAGGGAAAATATATTCTAAAAGTCTGTGGCTGTGATGAATACTTGCTAGAAAAATGTCCACTGAGCCAGTATAAGGTGAGTATTCTTTTGAACTACAGTAAAATAATGCAAATTTGTGGGGGACAAAAATGATCAGGATTAGGTCTGGCTTTTTCATTGAATTAGCACAAAACATAGGAAGTGACAGTGTGTGCACCTTTAAACAAATTGGCTAATCCATGTGTTTCAAAAGGGAGAGGAAGGAGAAAAGGCAGTTTGAACTAGAATTTTTATCACTCATGTAATTTTTCTTTGAATGTTTCCCTCTAATGTTAGTGCTACATCAGAGGTAGGTACTTTCCTAGATTTTTAATGGCAAGAGATGAGCTATATTTGAATGGTGCTGATGTAATAAAACAGGAAATTTGATCAGACTGTAAATTATGAAACGACCCTTGCTACTGTAAATCCTGTCCTGAAGGGGTGGTAAAAGAGAAAACTGTTTTCCTGTTACAGCTGTGTCATTATTTTCATAAGATAAAATATGTAGACTTTGAGCATTACAGAAATCATTGCTGAGCCTTCCTTGTGTCTGTCTGCCCTTCACTGCCTGTGTTTGTTAGTGCTGGGAGTGTGAGACAGAATTTGGGACAGAAGAGCATCTGAGCAGCCCTCTCTGGAGCAGACAACAACTTTACCCTGTAGATTTCCTGACAGGCTGCTGCTGCTTCCTCTTGGAGGAATGTATTGTAATAAACTGCTCCCATTCCTTCAGCTGAAATGGTTGACAATCTGATCTTCAGAGCAGTGGAGGAGAGAAGGAGGGGTGGGGGATCCTGAATAATAGGAAAAGTATCTCTGTACTCTGGGAGCTGGGGAACAAGTGCAGGCATACATGAATAATTTTGCAGAGTCATCTGAAGATCAAACGCCAGACCTATTTGATCTAGCGTGGTTTCTTCAGAAGCATCTGGTTCGCCTTTGCTGTGCCCCAGCAGAGCTTGCTAATTAACTCCAGGCTGGACCTGTCCTAACACACTGTGTTTTGTGGTAGTGTTGCCAGACTAGATGCTCTCAGCACTCAGACCTGAATGGACAGGTGAAGTGTGTCAGGATCAGTGCTGAGCATAAGGTAATGAACAGAACTGAACCAAAAAAGAGTGTGTCTGCAGCTTTCTTTGTGCTCCCTGCCTGGGACTGGCAGTGTCAGTCACCTGTGCTGCCCTGCAGGCTGCTACAGCCCTGCCATTCCAAAACAGCTCAGTTGATTCCAGGAGCAGCTCAAATCTGTCTGCTCTGTGCTGCACTGTGACAGGGCTAAGGAGCTCTACAAGAAACCCAGCTGGTATTTTCACTCCCATCTCTGTCTCCAGTTCAGCCTTCCATTGCTGTAGGTGTTCACATCTGAAAACCACGAGGTGTGGCTGTGTGACCCTACCCAACAGCATGTTCAAACTGCTGGGTGCTGTACCTACTTTCACTGTACAGGGTGTGCATGCAGCACATGATAAGCTCTTTCACTTTTTTATCTCCTGAAGTATCTTGATGTTTCCATTACCAAGAGTGCAGGCTTTGAAAAGACACAGCATTTTGGTGGTTTCCTTGCAGTACATAAGGAGCTGCATCATGCTTGGCCGCATGCCCAACCTGATGCTGATGGCCAAGGAGAGCCTGTACACCCAATTGCCCCTGGACACCTTCACCATGCCATCCTACTCCAGGCGCATCTCCACAGCCACACCCTACATGAATGGAGAGGCTACCACCAAATCCCTCTGGACTATCAACAGCGCTCTCAGAATAAGGATCCTCTGTGCAACCTATGTAAATGTGAACATTAGAGACATAGACAAGGTATGGAATCACATCTGGCTTTTCAGCAGCTCAGGGTTTCCCTCCTGAGTGTTCGGTTCTGTTTTGATGTTGGAAAAGAATCGCTATTTAACACATCAGAAAATGATACCACTCTTTTACTTAAATTGGAGTATTTAATTGTAAAGAACTCACCCATGTTTTAGCATCTGGAAACTTTTCTGTACTGCTTAAAAAGTGTGAGTTGTGGTAATTAGCTAAATACTCTGCCTGGCAGGAGCAGGACTCAGTTTGCCTAACACTTCAGCAGAGTACGTAATGGATTGAAAAAGAAATGTTATCTATCTTCTAAGTAATTATGGTTTAAAATATATGACAATAACTGAGAGTGCTTTTGATGAGGGGATGTTGTCTTTGTTTATGAAAATAAAGGTGTGGGGTGAGAGGGGGCAAAAGGCAGGTGTAGGGTTCAATTCCATTGAAGACATCTACAGCCCTGCCTTTCTTTCCTTGGAATTCCTTTCACAATACCTTGGCACAGGAACAACTGAGAATAAATTCCAGGGTTTTTTTTAGTGTTCAAGTGTGTTAATGTATTTTTTAAGAACTAGTTTTGCAATTAATGAGGACCAAAACATTTTTTCTAGAAGGATATGCTTATAAACTGTGCTTCACACCCAACAGAGCATGAATTAATTTGGGGAGTGGTGGGCCTGTTTGGTTTTCAGTTTTGATTTTCCTTTTCATATGCTGAAAATGAAAGAATAATGTGTTGTGATCACGGTATGTGTTGACTGCAATGAAAAAATTTGTTTATGGCAACATTACAAAGACTAATACAGATGTTGTTTTCAGATTTATGTTAGGACAGGTATCTACCATGGAGGGGAACCTTTGTGTGACAATGTGAATACTCAGAGGGTACCTTGTTCTAATCCCAGGTAAGATGAATACCTGAGTGACTCTAGAGAGCCTGACTTTCAGGGCATCAGAAATGATAGCACTGAAGGATTAAAGGCTCGACTTAGCCATTAGTCAGATAGAGCTCCTTGATGGGAATCCTTTATCTTAAGTTTTGTAAAAATACATTACATAACCCTATATATATAGCACTAATTTAATTCAAACACAAGCATTTTCTCTTGTACATAATAGTATGTATGGAATATATTTTCAGGATGATTGACAAACCATCAATATTACCTAGAAAAAATAAATCTTCTGAACTTAAAAGTACAAAAAGTTTTATATGAGCATATATAAACATTAGGGACATCTTTTAACCACCTGTTCTCATAACTTTTACTAATGAAGAGATGTGAAATTTCAGCTGCTACTAAGATTAAATGCAAAGTATGTGTGCAGAAGTAATTCTTTGCTGCATTTTCTGACTTTGTCTTTAATAATTTTTGCAACTCTTATTTTTATCTGTACATTTTCTATGAATGTGATTAGGTTTTATAATTAAAGGACTAATAATATACATAGTTGGTGAAAAATAGTCTCTCCTCCTGAGTTGCCCCGAATACTGCTGTACTTGAGCTGACAGTTTAGACTATTTTAGAGAGAAAATCTTGGGAAGGTGGTGAAGGTTATGCCTTGAAATCATGGATATGGTCACACAGATCTGTATTATATGAAATGAATACGTAAGAAAAGTGAATTAAAGTTTATCTGCTGATATCCTTATTCTTAGAGAAGGGCTTTCACAGTTATTTCTTTGTAAAATTGCTTTCAGTGGCTACAGATATACTGAAAAATTAATGCTGTCCTTGGAAGCTGCTGTCTCTTTCAACTGAGAAAATTCTGTATGACAATCCGCTTAGGGGAAGAAACTGGATCAGAAGTTCCTCTTCAAAAGCACAGCTCTACCAACTGAAAGCTAAATTCTGCTTAGAGAAGTTCATGAAAACAAAATCAAACTATTCCTGTAGAACCAATCTGTGCTATTATTACTACAGTAAATAGAAAAATATTTGACTTAGGAATATTGCTTTGGATTCCCACGTTCTATCCCCATCTTGCAGATATCTTTTTATGTTCCAACAGTTCAAGTTTAGTTTGATTTTGAAAGCCTTTTTACCCAGTTGCCTTTTTCCCCTGAAGGGAAAACTGTTTCACAAGCTAAACCTTGCATCAGTGTAGCATATATGCAAATCCATTATCTTTAAGTTGCAGGAATTGAACCTAAAATGGCTTTTTAAACAGTGTTGGGGCCAGAAGGCTACTGAGGAAGTTTGCATTCCCAAAAGCAGTGAATGTGGTCAAATTGTGTCCCCAAAAATATGGGGACCCGTTTTCAGTGTATGCAAATACACAGCTTAGGAATGTAACAAATACCTTTTGGTTGAGTGAATGGTGTCTTCTTTAACCTGGTTTAATTCTGCCTTTTGAATCTTCCAGATGGAATGAGTGGCTGTTGTATGACATGTACATTCCTGATCTCCCACGTGCTGCTCGGCTCTGCCTCTCCATCTGCTCTGTTAAAGGCCGGAAGGGTGCTAAGGAGGTAAAAAACCTCATGGATTTATTGCACTAATGAGCCAAAGCTACTTAAATCAAGTTTGGGAAGATATTTGGTAAATGCTGTCCTGGCAGTGAGTCTTAGTGCAATGTTTGATTTGAATCTGATTAAAATAGGAGCGTTTCTTTTCTTGTGGGTTTTTTTGGTGTTTGGAAATCAAACAACACAGGAAAAAGCTTATCAGTTCAGCACTGTAAATCTTGCCTATGCTGCATTGCCAGGCATGAAGACTGGTGTTAGTGTTGTGAGGTGGAAGTTCTTTTAGAATTAATTTTCAAAACCATGTTACTTACCTATTTGTTTTTAAAGGACTGTATTTGTACCCTTAGAGTTGAGTTTTCAAGTAAAGAAATTTTGTATTCCTTTAGCATTTAATGCAAGATCTCAAATAGTAATTTTTAAGACTCTACATGCAACATCTAGTTTTTAGCCAGCAGCATCATCACATTGTGTGTTCGAGTGTGTGTTATTTATATAGGATCTTTGTCTACAAGCAGGTCTGTGAACCTTACAGAATGATTTGGGTTAGAAGGGATCCTTAAAGACCATCCAGTTCCACCCCCCTTCCATAGCACAGGTTGCTCCAATCCAATCTGGCCTTGTACACTATCAGGAATGGGGCAGCCACAGCTTCTCTGGGCAGCCTGTGCCAGTGTCTCACTGCCCTTGTCATAAAAAAGCATATTTCTTTTTTCCATTCTACCCAAAAATATCTGCCTCAAGTTTAAAACTGCTGCCCCTTGTTCTGTCACTACAGGACTTGGTAAAAAAATCTCTTTGTAAGAAAAACTTTCTCCATCATCCTGGTGTATTCTGGTGTGAGGAAGATATGTGCATGTGTTTATAATTCTTTAAGTATCATTTTGTTAAAAGACTGCCACGACAGCCGTTCACAGAAAAACATGGTACAGCTTCCACAACTTGCTTTCTGCTAATCTGGGAATGTGACAACTTGATCTGGGGTGAAAATGTTGTTTCTCCTGACTCGCTCTGCAGTAATCCATAGATGACACCGAAAAAATCATATTTTAATCTCTTTAAGGAGCACTGTCCATTGGCTTGGGGAAATATAAACATGTTCGATTACACAGACACTCTGGTATCTGGGAAAATGGCTTTGAATCTTTGGGCAGTACCTCATGGGCTGGAGGATTTGTTGAATCCTATTGGTGTTACTGGATCAAATCCAAATAAGGTATTTGCATGCCAGCTTCCCCCTTAAGAGTACATTTTCAAAATATGCTGTATTCTTGCCATCATTCAACAGAAAAAGTAATTTGAATTCCCTTGACTTAGGAAACTCCATGCTTAGAGCTGGAATTTGATTGGTTTAGCAACCCTGTAAAGTTTCCAGATATGACAGTGATTGAGGAACATGCAAATTGGACAATTTCACGGGAACTGGGATTCAACTACAGCTACGCAGGGCAGGTAAGGCAAACCCCCTCTCCAGGATTAGCTAGTCAAATATGAAAATATTATTTGCTACTTTATTTTACTCAGTGTGTCAGTGACAAAACTTTTTTTTTTTTTCCATCCTCATTTATTGTAAAATCAAAATCAAATTTTGTTGTGTGTTTGGTAAAATGGACAATATATTCTCCTTTCTTTATGTTACCAGTAAAGTGACTTAATGCTTCACTGACCAACCAAAACACTCCAAAGACAAACTGTTTTACTGTGTTTTTGATACTTTTGTATCACTAATTCAGGTGTTAAGCTACTTAGTTTCACTTCTGAAACATTGCGGGTCTCCTTCAATCATACTGTTTTTCTTTGTTGCAGTTTCATATTTATGGTTAGGCTTTCCTGTGTAACCCAAAGGTGCTCAGAACTCTTTCCTGTCTGTTTTATGGGCTAGTTACGACCACAAGCACAGGGAATTTTAAGGGAATTGATGGACATACACATGGGTGTAGTCCCTTTATCTCACTTTTTCCACAAAGAGAGCTTGTGCATTACAATTGGCTTTTTTTGTGAGGTTTGGAGGTTTCTTCAAAGCACTTTTTTGGATGTAGAAAAGAAGTAAAAACAGAAAAGCAGTAAAGCTAAAAATGTGCTTTATTTAAAGCCAAGGCTGTGAAATTGCTTGGTGTGTTTTCATTTTCTTCTGGAGGCTGTTTCAAAGCCTTGGGTTTGCCCAAGAGAGCTCCATGGTCTGTGTGAAGAGGAGCCCTGTGGTGGGAGTTTGGCTGTGCCGGAGAGCGCGGAGGTGGCAGGGAGCTTCCAGATTGGGAATTCTGGGGGTATTTATAGCTGTCCTGTCCCAGTGTATCCTGAACAACAGCTTGTGGGCATTTGATTTCTCTTGATACTCAGCAGGATGTCCATCATAGAGTAGCATTTCTGCTGTTTATGCTGTGACTGAGCAGAGCTCTTAATAAATGCTTAAGGACCATTGTTGTCTTGGCAAATAACATTCCCCAGCCTCTTACCTGGGTTTCTGGACTCTCAGCTCATTGTTTTGTTCCATCTGGCACAAAGAAAAAATGGTGAGGGGGACAAACTCACTTCACTGACAACATAGTTAATTTCTGCTTGTAGCAGTTCTATTTTCTGTGTTTTTTGGGGAATGTCTTACATTAATTGTGATTTAATATTTTCTATCTTCCTGTTACTCAGGCTTTCCTACAGCAGTCTACCCCTTATTTACCTATTTTCATCCCTCATGTTCTGCTTTTTCAGTTGTGAATCCTTTTCACTCTTTCAGCAGCCATCAGCAATCTCAAGCTGGGGTCAGAAATGACCAGTGTCACTTTGTACTGCATTGTGTCATTCATCAGATCTCAACTGCTGCTATTTCTCCACACAGCTGATTTAGTTGAAATGTACCTCTTCTTGTGCCAGTAGTGACTAAAAGCAGTTGTAGAGATCAAAGGTGTAGTCTTTCATGTTCTTTCTAAATTTTAAACTCTCAGTTATAACAAGTGGACACACCGAGATAGTATTGCATGGCATGGCTGTAGTGGTTGCTGTGCTGTTAAAATACTGTATTTGATGTGTGTTTTGCAATAGAAGGAGTTGTGTGGAGGGCTAATGTGCCACTGTCTCTGCAGAGTAACAGAATAGCTCGGGATAGTGAATTAACAGAGAGTGACAAGGAGCAACTGCGAGCCATTTGTACCCGAGACCCTTTGTCTGAAATCACTGAGCAAGAGAAGGACTTCCTCTGGAGACACAGGTATTGCAAATGAAAAACCAAACCAAAGAAAAGCCCTTCATGGCATAATCAAACTTCACCCCACTCATTCCAAATTTGGCATGGGTTTTGCTCCCTTTTCTTCCATGCAGAGGAGTTGGTGTTTTAGACAAGGCTAGTAAAGCATTCTACATTGTGTGGTTTGGTTATAATCCTGTGGGGAAAAGTAAGTTGTTGAATGAGTTCCCCTTTTCCTTATTAGTTTTACCTGCATGGATGGATCCTGACAGCACCTTGCTGACAAAGGAAGAAGAAGGTGCAAGGCTGTGGGGACATAGTTAATGGTTGTCAAAGCAAAAGTGTTGTTTTGTACATGCAACTTTTTTGCCTTTTGCAGACACTATTGCGTGAATACTCCAGAAATTCTACCCAAATTACTTTTGTCTGTCAAGTGGAATTCGAGGGATGAAGTGGCCCAGGTAACATAAAGCACTGAAGAAGTGTTAGATTTTGAAGAAGCTTTAAGATATGCTATTTTAAAGAAACTTCTGGAAGTTAAAAACATATTATGTGTGCATGATACATTGAATGAATAGTTGGAGTTGGCACTATGATTGACAGATGTCTCTGGTCCACAGTTCTTGTTCTTTAGCTCAGTCTGGTCCTAAGATTTCCTCTTGCTGGCATTACCTGAATCCCTCTTATGTTACCAACTTGTCAATTACAGTTAAATGTGAGATTTTGTTTTCATTCTTTTAATGGTGGGTAAAACAACAAAGTCAACTGGCAATGAATACCAGATTGTTAATCGAGAGGACCAGCAAGTAAACAGCTTCTACTCAGATATAGTTTGTGTCTGACAACGCCTTCTAATGGCTGTGTGTTACAGCTTCTTCCTAAGCAGTGCAAAGGTGTAACGTGCTTGTCCTTCTTGCCCACAGATGTACTGTTTGGTGAAGGATTGGCCCTCAATCAAACCAGAGCAAGCCATGGAGCTCCTGGACTGCAATTACCCAGACCCAATGGTGCGAGCTTTTGCAGTTCGGTGTCTGGAGAAGTCCCTGACAGATGACAAACTGTCTCAGTACCTAATCCAGCTGGTACAGGTACTGAACATATTTTGGCATGTTTGTTGTCTTGTGTATGTGCAATGATCACAGAGACTTAAAACACAGCAAAAGTTAAGTTGTTGTGAAAAAGCAGTCGACAAAAGTGTGTTTGCTTTGCAGATTATTTAGGAGAGGATGAAATGTTAATTTTTCTGTAGTGCTGTGGTTTTGCTTTTTGGTACTAAATGTCAGAATTCTGCAGAGATTTAAAACTGTTCCACCAACTGGAACAGGCAGCTATTTCAGCTGTCCTAACATATGGGAAAAGATGAGCAGAAGCATCTTCTCGAAATTTTGAGCAAGTTGAGGCTAAAATATTTGGTAACAGTAAAGCAAGCATCAGATGGTAAGTTCCTGAAATAGAGACAGCCAGTGCGCAGTTGGCATATATTGTTCAAAGCCTAACACATGCAAATATTAATACCAAGATCAGTCATTTCAGGAAAAATAATGTAAAACATAGATGGCTTTTTATTTAACTGCCCATAGAAATAATAACTGCATCTGTTTTTTTTAAAAATTTTCTCTTTATCCTTAACTAGGTTCTGAAATATGAGCAGTACTTAGATAATCAGCTCGTGAGATTTTTACTCAAGAAGGCACTGACCAATCAAAGGATAGGCCACTTCTTCTTTTGGCATTTAAAGTAAGCTTATTGTCATGTTAAGGGGTGGTGGGTTTCCTATTAGCTATAAACAATTAGTAGCTCTAAAGATTTGACATGCTAAATGTCCTTTCTTAGAAAAATATTGAAGATTGGGTTATATTGGTTAAGAGTTTGAATACATAGTTTGGTGATAGAAATTATGCCTTGAAGTTTCAAAAGCCACTTAATAGTACTTAGACTTGTACTTTTTATCTAATGATGATCATTCTAAAAACAAGATAATCTGAGACTGCTGAAAGCCTACCATATTGTTAGATGCCTGATACCACATCAGTTTTTCCAGAAAACTTTACAAATATATGAGACCTAAAGAAAGAAGCCACCCAATTCAACAAGGTAAAGCTTTGAAAAATACTAGTAAAAACTTTATTTTTACTTCTTTATTAAAGGCTTCTTACAGAGCTTGATAGCTCAGTCTGCAACATATTGGGCTGTAACTAGAGGTCACCTAAAAACTCTGTTCTAAGCTGGTGTAACCAGACACAGAAATAGAAGCGATGCATCTTTGTTGCCTTGGTGTCATCAAGGATAAGGGAGGGGATTGTTTGAGGGGATGTATTTTAGGACTGTATGAAGATGTCACAAGTACAACTTCATTTTTGGCACCTCTAAGTGGTCTTGTCTCTAAGCTGTAATTGTTCTTCCTCCCTGTGTAGGTCTGAAATGCACAACAAAACTGTCAGTCAGAGGTTTGGGTTACTTCTGGAGTCCTACTGTCGAGCGTGTGGAATGTACCTGAAGCACCTGAGCAGGCAGGTGGAGGCCATGGAGAAGTTGATTAACCTCACAGATATTCTCAAGCAGGAAAAAAAGGATGAGACCCAGAAGGTATCAAAGTCTGCCCTTATATCAAAACTGCTGCTGTTGAGTCACAGTAATTACTTAGAACTGTTCTATTTGATCAACGAGGAAAAATGTTCATGCTAATTTCAGTAGGTGGTATGTTTTCTGGGGAGCTGCAGTATTTTCTGTGTAATGCCATTGTCTAGCTCTCAAGGTAATAGAATTAAAGGTTTCAATTTGTGTAATCTGTAGCTGAGCTGTACTTATATTAGAACTGTGCAAAACCATGCTTGACAGCCAAAGCTAAAATCTGATACCTTCATTTACATGTAAATAGTGTTCTCAAGACCTGAATGTGCTTATTTATCAGGTACAGATGAAGTTTCTTGTTGAACAAATGAGACGGCCAGATTTTATGGATGCCTTGCAAGGTTTTATCTCTCCTCTTAATCCTGCACATCAACTGGGAAACCTTCGGTATTGTATCCATTTTGAAGTTTGTCTAGATACTTAAGTAAATGTTTGTTAATGGTAATAGCTTAGCTTAGTTTAGTAAATGTCAGTATCTTCAAAGTGCATTGAATAGAATTTGTAGCAGAGTAATCCATAAAGAGTAGAGTCATTTCAATCTAATGGTTTAACAAATCAGGAAACAACGTGACCTTTAGTTGTTTCTTTAAAGTGCCAGGAACTGCAGTCCTTTTTCAAGTTGTCAGGAGTCCATATTGCCAAAGGAATATTTACAATATTCCCTTACAACACAGCTCTTCTGTTGGTCTTAGCAAATGGTTAATGTAGCACTTAGTAATTTAACTGTGAGTCCAAAAGTGAAAATGGTGGATTGTCAGTTTGCAGGATAATGTCATCTGCAAAAAGGCCGCTGTGGTTGAACTGGGAAAACCCAGATATTATGTCTGAATTGTTATTTCAGAACAATGAGATAATATTTAAAAATGGAGATGGTAAGCATAGACAAATAAGTATTTATATCAGTCAAGTACAAAATTTATATATTCTAAGATGTTTGGTCTGTCAAGGTGGAAAATTATGCTATTTAATATTTGTTATTTTTACATGTAAATGTGTTCAATCTGTCATATTACAGATATGTAAGCTGTGATTCCATTGTCCTGGATTTAGTGTGTGTCTTTAAAATCACCACCACAAGTTTATATTAATTTTTTACTATTTAAAACCTGCTTTTCTCTACTGAGGGAACAAAACCTGCACTAAATATGCAAGCCTCATTACCTTTAGACATATAGTTTTGGGGGGAAAAGGAAAGTAAGATCTAACCAAAGGTTTTGGTGTTTCAGAATTTGCAAATTTAATGTATTTGACTGTTTCAGACTTGCGCCAGGACATGCTGACACTTCAGATAATTCGAATTATGGAAAACATCTGGCAAAATCAGGGTCTTGATCTTCGGTAAGCAGTAGAGATCATTCCCAAGTAATGCTGATCTTAATGGTTTTAGCATTGGTTTGTTCCCAGAAATAGCTTCTGTTTTCCCAAGGGTCATAAATGAAATGTTATAAATAGACATTTTTGTGCATATTAGAGCAATATTTATTTTTTTCAGTTAACTAAACTACTGGATTTTATAAACATAAGATCATATCTGAAAAATACTTAATTCTCATTCAAGTGGGTCTGAGTGAGCTACGTACAAGGAATGAATACAAGAGCAGCAGCCGCACCTGTGGCCAAGTGATTGTGTCTGTAGGTTGGGCTTTGAACAAGGTGCCAAATCCTCAGCCCTGCTGAGCAGTGACTCTGTGGAGTTGGTATCTTCACTTCAGTCTGCACAGTAGATATTGCCCAGTCTGTGTGAGCTTCTCCACCTCCAGACAGTCTGTGGTGCAGCAGCTTCTGCAGGGCATTCAGGATAAACTGTTCTGCTTCTGGAAAACTGATCTTAGTCGGGTTACACCTTCAAATTTGTGTTTGATGTGTGGTACGTTTTGAGGTGGGAGCAAAGAATCTGCCTGTGCACTGTCTAGAAATCCCCAGTTTTCATTTCCTTATGTAGACAAAAAGACCTGTTGGTCTGTGTTCTCTCTCATGAGTCACAGTTTTGTTTCCAGTACTGTAATGAATGGCAGAATTAAGCCTTTGTCCAAGAATGGTTTGCAGAATGGTTACAGTTCCCCATGTCTTAAAGAGTAGCCAGATACAGGAATCTGCAAAAATACATCCTCTCACCATTCTCTATAAAGGAAGAAAAAACCAGAAAACCAATGAACCTTTGTGTTTCAGGATGTTGCCTTATGGTTGTTTGTCGATCGGTGACTGTGTGGGACTCATCGAGGTCGTGAGGAGCTCTCACACCATCATGCAGATTCAGTGTAAAGGAGGCTTAAAAGGAGCACTGCAGTTCAACAGCCATACATTGCACCAGTGGCTCAAGGATAAGAACAAAGGAGACATGTGAGATTACCTGTCGCCTCTTTTTCTTGGCCATATCCTTCTTTTTGATGGAAACTTCACGGGAACTATTATTTCCATAATTGTGTCCATCTAGTTTTGGTTTTGTTTTCTTTCTTACCTGTCCTTGTTTGCCTGGTAGTTCTTTTGCAAAAGATAAACATGCACTTGTGTGTTATTAGAATATCTGAGGAAAGTGTCTCCTTTTTTGTTCGCATAGGTATGATGCAGCTATTGACCTGTTTACACGTTCTTGTGCTGGCTACTGTGTTGCCACCTTTATCCTGGGCATTGGTGATCGCCACAACAGTAACATCATGGTCAAAGATGATGGACAAGTAAGGGATGCTTTTCTAAAATCATACCCACTTACCCACATACCCTAAATCATACTCACTTCAGTATGAGTTTGTTTTGGAAAAGAAAATCAGAACTAAGTAAATGATAAATTTTACTGTGACTTCGTTTAAACAAGGAATTATTAATCTTAAAATTCCTTTCTGTCTTTCCAAGCTGTTTCACATTGACTTTGGGCACTTCCTCGACCATAAGAAGAAAAAATTTGGTTACAAAAGAGAGCGTGTGCCATTTGTCTTAACACAAGACTTCTTAATAGTGATTAGTAAAGGAGCCCAAGAATGTACCAAAACGAGGGAGTTTGAAAGGTGAGCTTGCTTTTAACCATTTAACCACCAGCCTGTTTTGTACCTAAAATGTACTTTACTATTGGTGACCTTTAATAATTAGGCCTTTTATCTGAACAGTTGTATTTTAATTGATTTGCAGTGGGTATGTTCTAGTTCTTCAGTTGTAGATGAGCCATCCACTTGTAAGTCATCCACTTGTAAGTCTTAGCATTTACATGACCTTTGGTCCATGAAATCTCACTTGAGATTTGCAGGGTCAGCATAGATGGCAATTTTTCAAACATCTGAAATTCTTTGACTTTACACCTAAAATCCTCTTGAGATGGCAGAACTGAAACTACTGAGAATTCTTTAACATTGGGTGTTGTGTGCATCAGAGCCTTGCTGGTCATTCAGCCATACTTCTCTCTCCTCTAGCTGCTCTGATATCAGCTCCTCAGCTGGCCTGTGTAGTTTGTGACAATGGCCAGAACTTTAAAATAATAACAGTAAAGAAATAAATCTGTTGCTTTCCAGCAACCCAATCTTTGAGAGGTTTCAATTTTAATCATAATTTCATTATGTTGATGGCAACGGAAAACAGATTTTGAATTACAGTGTCAGTCTGAACACTGCAGTGAAGATTTTTTGCATTTTTTACCTAAACCTGGGTACTTCTTATCCAGTGTGATACAGAAAATGCCCCTGTTTTCAGTGGATTCTTCAGAGCACCTAAGGAGCAACAGCTGCTGGCCCGCATAAAACCACAGGAGAAGTGCAACTCTGAAGGTAGATAGGAAAGCTAACAGGAAATCTTCTGAAATCTGAAATGTCAATTGCAGTGACAAAAATGGCCCTGTGAGCTCCCATAAATTCATGTTGAACAGTTGTATGAATGGTAGACAAGGTTTAAGGCTAGAAAGCCCATCTTTGGATGTTGTGTTAGTCTGACCACTATTAATCCTTACATGAATGAAGAAAAACTTAGTAGGAAAATGAGTGCATCTTCTCAGCTACATTATGGTGTTCTTACTGGACTAAGACTGTCTGCTTTTTTGGTGTCTGGTTACCTGTAAAACTGTTTTGGAGATGAAACAGTAATATGCACCCAGTAGAGAAATGCACTGAGCTTTTTTCCCCTGGTCTCTTCCAGGTTTCAGGAGATGTGTTATAAGGCTTACCTTGCAATTCGGCAGCATGCCAATCTCTTCATCAATCTTTTCTCCATGATGCTTGGCTCAGGAATGCCAGAACTGCAGTCCTTTGATGATATTGCCTACATTCGAAAGACCCTTGCATTGGACAAAACTGAGCAGGAGGCTCTTGAGTACTTCATGAAGCAAATGAATGATGCTCACCATGGTGGCTGGACAACAAAAATGGACTGGATCTTCCACACAATAAAGCAACACGCTTTGAACTGAACTGACTGCAAAGAAAACAAGAACTGATACCCCGCTTTGTGGGTACTGCACTGTTAATACCCATTAGCAGCGAAGACTGGTTGCATAGGAATTGCACAAACCATGAACAACATTAGAATTTATGGCAAGAAGAGAAATGAATTGTTCAGACAACTGTTGGAAAATAATGTAAAACAGGGTTTCAGATAGCACTAAAATTATAAACTTCAAAAATTAAGCTTTAGTACAATGTGTGCAGGGACCTTGACAAATTAGAGAGATGGGCAATCACCAAGTGTATGAAGTTTAACAAGGGCAAGTGCCACATTCTGCACCTGGAATGGGGCAATCCTGGTTGTGTGTATGGACTGGGGAACGAGAGGCTGGACAGCAGCTGCAGAAAGGGACCTGGGGGTCCTGGTTGATGGCAAGTTGAACATGA